AAGGCATTGCTGCTTATGTGCTTGTTGCTATTTATTTGATTTGCAGATGAAATTCCTACAGTGGTTGGGATCTTTAGTGCATTTGGTCTTGTCTTCTCTGTCTCCCTTTTTGCTTGGATCTGCTGCCAACGTAAATCTTCCAAATCCAATAAGACCCCTCCATATAAGTTTGTCCATGTTCTGAAGGGGGTTGATATTTACCCTGAGAATCTCAACAGTAAGAAGAAGTTTGGAGCAGATGATAAAAGTGAAGCAAAGAACAAATCAGCGATGCCAAAGAATTCTCTCCATCTTGACCTGGAGAAGAGAGATCTAAATGGCAACTTCCCCAAAACAACCCCTAAAATCCAGAGCTCTCCAGATCTTGAAAATTTGTCTCCTAAGCACTTTGCAGAAAGGAAGAAAGATTCAGTATCCCCTGATAGTTTAAAATCCATCACTTCCCTGTCATCTGAAGATAAACAGGACAAGCTAGGAACTCTCTTTTTCTCCTTAGAATACAACTTTGAGAAAAAAGCATTTGTAGTGAACATCAAAGAAGCACGTGGACTGCCAGCAATGGATGAACAGTCAATGACTTCTGATCCCTACATCAAAATGACAATCCTGCCTGAGAAAAAGCACAAGGTGAAAACCAGAGTGCTGAGGAAAACCTTAGATCCAGCTTTCGATGAGACCTTCACGTTTTATGGGATCCCCTATAGCCAAATTCAAGACTTAACACTTCACTTTATGATCTTGAGCTTTGACAGGTTTTCCAGAGATGATGTCATTGGAGAAGTCCTCATTCCCCTCACAGGAATTGAACTGTCAGAAGGAAGGCTGCTAATGGACAGAGAGATCATCAAAAGAAATGTTAGGGTAACATATTTTTTATTTAAACTTTAAAAGTGTTGTGCTAGTGTTAGCTATGTTTCTTGTGTAATGCTGCTAGCATCTTGGAAAGAAAAGGGAACAAGTTCATCATGCAAGTCATTGAGATGCTTTCATAATGGCAGTATGAGGAAGCAATTACACAAATGTAATAAAAGAACATTACAATGAGCATGTTGCAA